CACCCCCCACCCCACCTATACTTGACCCAGAAATGATATATGTGATAATCGATATCACTAAAATTAGAAAGTTGAAATCATACATACATACAAATGTACTCTATGTATTAAAATCCAATGTGGTCAGCAAAGTGGTATCACAATTATACCACCGCACAATGAGAAACCTGGAAGGTGAGTGTGCGGTGGTATGACAGTTCTACCACTTTTCCTACCCCTACAGTATTTTAGAGAAGGGATGAAAAAAATTTTTGAAGCGTTTTTTGTGCTTATCTTTATCATTAAAATTTAACCATAACATTTTTTTTAAAAAAAATGAAAAAAAAATTTCCGTGCAACAAAGGGTTAAAAAAGAGGCCCGAACACATGTGTCCTACCTTCGGCTGTGTTACTCAAACGATGCTTGAAGCACCATTACGAATTAGACAAACGGAAACAAACACAATATGGAAATAGAGGGAGGGAAAGGATGCGCGTTTGCGACGGCGCAGAGATACAACTATTCGTACTTGATGGACGTCCGTGCTGCATCTGAAAAATTGAAGGCGTGATGACGCTAAGCGTGAGCTCTCAATGCTCTGCTATATGCGCTCAAAGGAATGTCGCTCAGATTCGGGAGAAAAGTTTAAAAAAAGGCCCGAATACGTCTTCCTTGTCGTCGGCTGTGTTGATACTCGTTCTTCCTTCTTTTTTCAGGTTCTTGTCTGATTCTTTTTTAAGATGGATTTTTAGACCCACGTCTTAAGCTCGTGTAAACCGCAGCACTGACGCGGTTCTCATGGAAATAATGGTGCTTGGATGCGTTTAGTGGCTTTAATATTTTATTTTTTCTTAAATTTTAGAAGTCTGTCGGTCACTTCAATACGTTCAATTTTACAATTTTTACTCAGCACGATTAATAAACTTTGAACCTGAAAATAGCGTAAACTTGTGCTGCTTTGCCAAAATTTTCTGAACCCCTCTCCACAGAAGGGATGCCCCATCAGAAAATATCACATTACGCCCCTTTAACCAACCAAGGGTCTACGCCCTCAGATGCGAACCAGTCCGACCCTGCACGATTGTGAATTGAAGTTGAGCATTGGGAGCTCTTCTCGCGGCAAATCGGTGACTTCTTTTGCTGGTAACGAAGAGTCCTTTTCCGTAAGGTATGGCCTCCTTACGCAAAACTTAGTCTGTAATTTTAATGCATCTCGTTCGTAGGAAACTCAAATTGTGGTAATTGTTAACAAGTTTTGTCAGTAAAGCAGGGGTGAATTTCAGGCTTTGGCAGTAGGCCCAGTGTTAGTTTTGATCAAAATAAGTAACGAATTCATGTAATAGAAGACCCTAGCCAAATTTTTCAGGTTTTTTCAATACAAGTTCAGCATAGAATACTAGGGTATGAAGTTAGTCACATTGAAATTATGAGCATAAAGGCATGAGCTATTATTGTTTCTACTTAGGAGGTCTAATTTCGCCATTCCAATTTTTCTCTCAAGTTTTCGGTAATTTAAGAAGAATAATACAATTTCTCTTTCATTGCTTGTTTCCAAAAATACTGATCAAAAAACACTTAAATGAAATGATCAGCTTGAGAATTTCACCAGAAGTTTGAATAAAAAAGGAAACCACAGTATTGTCCAGAATAAATTTTGGTGGCCTCCTCCATCTCTTGCCCCAATGGTGCCTTCTGGATGCTGCAAAGCAGAGACAGTAGTTAACATAATCATTGTTAATAGTCCCTATTTATCGATTTAAATTAAGCTTGAGTTTAACAACTTGCCCATTCAAATTTTAGTTGTGTAAATAGTTAATATAAAAACACATATTAACTTGTCGTTATGTTTATCCATACAAAGTTAAAAAAAGTACTTTAGGATAATCTGGTCAAGAAAAGGTATCGCTGGTGATACTACGGAATCATATACCTCAGATTGCTATGTTGGAAATTTTCAGGAACATGTCTTTTAATTTTTTTAAGGATGACTGAATATCGGTATTCCACGTAAGGATTAATTATTGATGGAGATATTGCATGTGTAAGAAATTTGCGATTTGACTATTGATTCTTACGTAAAAGTTAGCGAAAAATACGATAGTACCACTGCTTTCCCTTAAATCAACTCCCAAGCTCAAAAAAAGCTCTCAAAGTTGAGGACGTAGGCGAGGGCAAGTTGAAGGGGATATCCCACGCCATCCTGAGAGTCTACCTCTACGTAAAGACAAACTCTTCATGCAAAGATAGGGAGAAATTATATTGAAAGGGCTGCCACTTTACTTGGGGACTCTAAAACTGAAAACATGGCAACCCTAAGGGTTGCCGTATGCTTTTAGTTACCCTGCTAATGTATTTGCTCCCTATCTTTGCATGGAAAGTTTGTATTTACGTAGAAGTGGACTCTCAGGATCATTACAGCCTCGCATTGAGCGCGTTTTTGGAGCTTGGGAGTTGATTTCAGAGAAAATCAGTGGGACTATCGTGTTTCTCGCAAACTTTTACGTAAGAATCAATAGTCAAATCGCGAATTCCTCACACATGCAACATTTCCATTAATCCTTCTCCGGCGTCTCTTAGGCGTTAACATTTAGCGTCAAATCTTTGTCACTAACTAAACCATCAAAAAAAGACGGTTATAATACCAAAAATGGTCTCCAAAAATGAAAAAAATCTGAACACGGCGGACTTTATGGTAGACTAGATAGTTGACTAGCTTCTATATGTAATTTGTATATTGCTGAGTTCAAAATTAACCTTAGTTTTTTTGCGATGACCCATTATCTTCCTACAAAATTAGGTTTCTCAAAAAAATGGAGTTTTTCGTGGGGAAATTCAATTTTGATTCAATTTTTTGGGGATAACGATGCATAATATTTAAAATCAAGGTCATTTTCGGATTCATGCAGCTAAGGTTACTACAAATCAGACTTTAATGGGACCCATCCTTCATTGGAATATTTATTTAAAAAATGAAATAGGAGCGAAAATTTTGAGTTTCAGCTAAAAAAAAAAATCTGGTTATATGCTTTTAATATTTGATAGCTTGGCCTTTGCTGTAGATTACCTACTACAGGCGCTTAAGCATGAACCTAACTTTTATTTTCAAGAGACCCATTTCTCATTCAATCTGTCCACGTTGTGGCTCACACCTCTCAACACTATTACGGTCAGTGGCGTGGCGTGCTTTGTGATATATCGATTGATCTCTAGTATAAACCTATGGAAAAAGATCGATAGACAGGGTGTTTAAACCTTAATAATCGATTCTTTACCATGGCTTCAAATGGAGAAATATCGATAATCGATTAATCACGCCTCGCCACCGATTGCGGTGTGGTGAAGAATTGGAAAAAGATATGGAACCGGAGGGAAGCCTCGAAGGCATACAGACGGCTATCCTATCACCGACTGGCCCGACCGTGGAGACAACGATGAAAGTAGGGGAAAGAGGAAAAGAGCAAGAAAATAAACGTGGGATTCCCAATCGCTGATAAGTCGTGAATGTAGAGTCGGTGCGAGAGCTTTTATTCTGTGGCCACTATAGCGGTGCACTAAAGTGTATGGCGGGTTACGGAAAACTATTTTTCGCAGGAATAACGATCCCGCTTGTACACCAGTACATTTTTTCAAACTCTCCATGAACAGACTGGAAGCGAATACGTAAGCACAGTTGCTATGACTGTAGCCTTGTAATTTCCATGTGAAGTGTTAACCCTGCTAGTTTGTTAGCTTCCAATCTTTGCATTGGCAGTTCGACTGGATTTTGAAGTGTACTTTCCTCATAACATGAGCGATCCCTTTCATTATGGCCTCAACTCTAAGAGCTTTTTTTGAACTTGGGTGTTTGATTAAGAAAAAACCAGAAGCCTCATTGTGTCTCACAAAATTTTGCACAGGATGAAATACCTAAATTGCAAATCCCCATGACGTGCGAAAGATTTAGCCCCCAATTCTTGCAATGATTTTAAGACCCATCCCAGTAATGCTGTTGACTACTAGGGTCTTAGGCGATGATTCTCTGGAAAGTAGGAGTCCTTGTTGAGAACAGATGAGTAAGACCCTCTTTTACTGCGCACCACCACGCGCATAGCGCAATCTTTCAGTTTGTTGTCATGGGAAAATTATTGTGATAGACCCGGTAGATGTTTAGATATAAACTTTAAGGGGAGGTATTGTTTTACTACTTATTATGTAATTATAAAAAATATACAGTTTTATAATGTAATATCGGAAATTCTTGTATAATAAATATCAGAAGGTAAAGATACAGGCTCGAGAAAAAACTACCTCAAAAAATGAAAATTTGGAGGGATGGTCTAGATCTAGCCTCACTTGTACAAACCTGTAGCAGTCGTGTTTCTCTTGAATATATTATGCTTCTCATCAAACTTTCGTTGAGTACTTTGACACATGGCACAGTTGTATCTCTCTAGTAGCAATATCATGCATATTATAGTTGAATTAAACCATCAATCTCGTGCGAAGTAAACTTTCACAACCGTAGCCGATAATCTAACCTCATTCTTGTTCGGCAAGTTCCTTGTGCACTCACGTTTCATAAATGATACATACTGTTTTATAACTTATCAAGGATTTCGCATCACTCTCGTTTAGTGTATCCTGCTCCCATTAAAATCAGTTGTCTAGCATGTGAACCACCAAACCAACTCTTGTGTCTTATCAACTATGGTAAGGCAGTGGCCTAAAACATCCCGGCTAAATTATGCCTGGACAGGAATGTCCGCAAAAACTGGAAAACCTTCACAGAAGCCTTCAATTTATATCTAATTGCATCCAGACTGATCAAGAAGTCCGATGATAGGAAAATCCCTATCCTCCTAAATTTGGAAGGTGCGGAAGCCTTACGGGTCCATGTAACCTTCAAAAAATAATCAGACAGAAAATTAGCTGAAGTGCTACAAACTTGTCACGACTACTGTAAATAATCCTAAGGAAAACTAAGAGACACTCTACATATGATTTTTTGTTTGTTTTGAATTTTTGAAGATCGAAGGTGATGCGTCTGACTCTAGGACTGAGATAAGTCTCTGCACTCAGTGTTTTTAACCTTGCTCACCTTCTAACACAATCCCTTAAAAATGTAATCTTTACCATTGAAGGGCTTATTTCTTGTCATATCGATTTCAGGACCAAATGAACGAAGTAATCGATGCAATGTTCGAGAAAAAAGTCCAGAAAGGAGATTATATTATCAAGCAAGGAGATGATGGTGACAATTTTTATGTAATACAAGCGTAAGTAGCTATGTACTCCACTGTCTTTCCTACTAAACAAATTTTAGAATATCCAACTGTCCTTAGATCTCCTCCTTCCCTCTGAATAGGCGTGATTAAAACTCTTTAACCATAAGTAAAATAAAATAATATATCCCTCATCAATGACTAAGTTTGGACTGATGAAAAGTACTTCGCCCGGCCTAAAATAAGTAAGGAAATGCCTGAAACAGATGGTCTAGGAAACCTTGCTTAAGAAAGCGTTCGTTTTGCCGCTGCCCTCTGACAGCCCTAGGAGTCCTCCTCTAAACGCCTAGCTATGAATGGTAATGCAGGTATTGAATTCCTTTCAAATTTTACCTGCATACTAGTAGCATGTGGCCATATCGCGGCCGTCAACTACTGAAAGAAACTTCTACCCAAATAATTGTAAAACAATCGTATGCAAATAATTTTTTTGTTAATTACTCAATGGAACATCAAACCAATAATTAAATGTTTGATATATGTGAATCATTTGCAAAATTCACTAGATATGTATCATTCAGAAGTAAACATTACCACAACAGACCAAGTAGTTCTTTTAATCCAAACCTACTTTTCTGAAAAAAAATACCATTACCTGATTTAAGCCTTATAAGAAACATCTAGCATTATTGAAGTTGTGAGGTGTTTGAAAGTTTTTTGGTGAGGAAAAATATGATAACACCTCTATACATTGCCTTGAATCATAAAACGGCGAGAGCCTCTTCCAACTATTTCTTTCTTTGTCGCCAGAAATCAAAAGACATCCTGTTTCAATATTTTTACTTCCTCGCTCCCCCAGGGTAGAGGAAGTATTGTCATCCTGCAAGTGGGGAAAAAAAAGTTGAAATTTCATCATTTCTAGACGTTTTAAGGCCCCAGGAGTCGAAATAACCATACTTGAAAAAATGTGTGTCCGTCCGTCAGGCGTCCCCCAAATCTGTCTACAGCAATATCTCAGGATCTATCCGTTCGATATCATTCAAAATTTGCACAGAACACCATATCTATGGTCTCCTTATGCACGTCAAACGATTTTGGGGGGGCTAGGGTCCGAAGTCGATTTTTAGCAAAATCACACGGAAAGCTTATTTTAAAGGACTGTAAATTTTGAAAAATGCCTTTAATTCTTTAACAGTGGGCATCAAGCACACCACCTGGGTCATTAATTTAAGTTCCTAAAAGATCTTTGGACTTAACTCAAAATTCAAGGGATTACGAAGCCCAAAAGTAGGGCACTTTGCTCCGCGACATCACACAAACAGCTCATTTTCAAGGACTGTAAATTTTAAAAAAATGCCTTTAATTCTTCGAAAGTTGCCATAAGAGCACCACCTGAGTCATTAATTTAAGTTCCTAAGAGATCTTTGGCCTAAACTAAAAATTGAAGGGTTATGTGTCAAATAGCGAGGAGAGCACTTTGATCACACTTTGACCGACTGTAGATTTTGAAAAAATGCCTTTAATTCTTTGAAAGTTGGCTAAAAAGCACCACCTGAGTCATTAATTTTAGTTCCTAAAGGATCTTTGGACCAATCTCATAATTGCAGAGGGGCCGATAGCAAACGCGCAATTCTCCGATAAATGAGTCGGAACGCTCCTGGGTATTAGCAGCAAATGCTTTAAGTCAGGTGATACCTAGGATTTTAAATGCATTGTATGATGCATCATATACTATCTCCAAAATTACTCCGTAGGTATGCACCAAGAAAAATAGGTACTTACATACTGTGAATCATCGAAGCTAATACTAGAACTGACGCTTAGATCTTTATTAGAAACTGATATGTTTGTTGTTGATGAACTTAAAATCCCGGCAGATTCCATCAATTTTGGTTCCTTTTTACGAGGTACTGAACACAAATATAATAATACTGCACGAACATGATTGATTTATTAATTAATGCTTACACAAAAGCGAATTTGTTTACATTTCACCAACGCATTTCACGGACATCTTGTTCCAATTTGTTTTTGTTGTTGTTGTTTAAAACACGGGGATACGAGCAGGTCAGGAGGTGGCGCTTTCCGTTGTTGTCGTTTTGACTTGCGGGGATACGAGCTAAGGAGGTGGCGCTCTTGGTGGGCGGGTGGTGAACCATTTCCGGCAGGGAGATTTCAACGGCTAACTTTGAAATTTGAGAGAGATTGCCCCGGCATAATCCGTTTCATTTTAAGACTATTTAAACACCGAATAGTGATTCTACCCATTGAAGTAGGTTTTTGATAACTTTTTACTGTGCTTAAGGCAACATTATAATATATAATTGTATCTAAATTATGGTGTCAATGAATCCAATAGATCCTAATGAATCGTAGAAAAGCTAAGATTTTTGAAGATCGCCGTCTTTACTAGAAGGCATCATTAATCAATTATTTATTTGAAGATGCCTCATAATATCGACAAGTCGCTTCTGAATATATGAATTCACCACATATCGTGAAGAGATTTACGATAATGTCTAGTGGTTTGATTAAATATTTCGAAACTATCATCGTTCGATCAAAATTCCAATCGAACTTTATGATTTTATGAAATTGGCAGTATTTTTCTAAATAATCCAGTGAAAGTGATTATGCCGGCGCTCCGCGCCGGCAAAAGTGAGGAAACCTTGTACAATCCTCGCACCACGATGGGTGGGGGTGAAGCCCCCTCAAATGCCTGCGCGAAGCGCCGCACATAAATTGGCCGACTTGTTTCTCTCTGGCTTTATAGGATGACACTCAGTAGTAATCTACCATTTCAAATTCTAAAACTCTTTTTCTGGTCCATGCCGTAAATGCCATCGAAATGGGAGATCTGTTTTCAAGGACTGTTTAAAATTTTGAATTCGTTGACTAAAGGAGGAGTATCGATAAGGGCCTTTTTTGGCCCCCTCCTAAAATCTGGAAATTTATGCGGGTTTTCCAAGTTGACTCAATGTAGTGTACGCCTGCAGACCTATGTTTAGGCAACCGTTTAACACGTATCCAGTGGCCTAGGGGCTAAATCATGATTGTTTCCGTGAACTACATTGAGTCAAATTGGGAAACCGGCATAAATTTCCACATTTAAGTTGATGTTATGCGTTTAGTGAAAATATGCCTCCACTACTCCAAAATCCGTTATCCTCACGGCTGTTTGTATGGAAAATTCAATTTTTTTTGGACACTACAAAAGGCAACCGTTTAACATGTATCCAGTGGCCTAGGGGCTAAATCATGATCATTTCTGTAAACTACATTGAGGTAACTTGGAAAACCCGCATAAATTTCCAGATTCTAGGAGGGGGCCAAAAAAGGCCCTGATCGATACCCCTCCTTTCATTTGAACCAAAATTTTTCGAAAACAGTTGCTCCAATGTTTTGTAATCGTTTATACCTATAACTTTTTGCTCCTATTCAATGTTCGCTCTTGCATTTAACCAGGTTGTATATTTGTGCTGGGTCCACATCACTTTGTGGAGAAAATAAGGCAAAAAATTTCAATTAGAATCAAAATTGTTGATTCAAATTAGAATTTTTGAACTTTTTAGCGTTGTTTTTTTCGCAAAATAGTGTGGAATCAGCACTATTTTATCACCTTGTTACGCTCAATTTGGGCAACGTTTGAATGTTTATCTCTTGTTCTTCTATTTGATTGAGAGCTTTACTTTCTCATTTTACAGAGGTGATTATCAAGCATTTGTCAACGATGGAAATTCTGATAAACTTATTCACACTTACCATGATAAAGGTAGTTTTGGAGAGTTAGCTCTTTTATACAATATGCCGAGAGCTGCCACAATTCAAGCTGCATCAACCGGTTCATTGTGGGCCATGGATCGTCAGACGTTCAGGCGTATTGTCCTCAAGAGTGCTTTCAAAAAAAGGAAAATGTATGAAGCCCTCATAGATGGTGTACCGATGTTAAAAGCGTTGCAGGTCTGATATTATGTTTCTTGTTTTTATACACTGCTAAAAGAATCCATTTACATTAATGTCTCTTTTATTTAATTGTCAATTCAATGTGGGCAGGATGTCTAAAGCAAATGCGGAAATTAAGATGTCCGCCATCATAATGTCACCTGGATGACAGCAGCCTAGAGGAAGCGGAAATAACCAAAAACTCAATGCAAAATTAAGTATATTTTTACCAGACTTGTTTTTTCAGTATTCTCTGGCGCCCTGTGTTGCCTCACTGACACAGACCCCTATTCTCATTAAGACCTTTCAGAAGCTGACACTCCTTTATTTCTTACTCAACTCTGTGTCACCGTCCTTTCAGGAGGAATCCAATAGAGCATCTTTTTTGGCAGCCCTTTTTCTGCGACACTGCTCCCTTGACCACACCAGACGAGCCATTAGGTCATGACGTCAAAATCGTTTAGAATTTAGATTTCCAGGATCTGATTAACTTTATCATTACGGACACAATCTCTTCTAGAAGTTCCTGATGCTCTCCTCCAGATATCAATTTCCACTGCTCTCAGCCTATTCTGTGTCCTTTTCTTCAGCTGGTGAACTTCACATCTATGTCAAAACACTTTTCACTGTAGCGTTGCAAATTCTCCTTTTGTTCCCCCTCAAAATCGGATGATTCGTTTAAAACCTGTAAACATGGCTCTATTTGATGCTGGTTGTGTTTGGACTGATTTCTCCAAATTCATGCGGTTGTTCTGCGCAATGGGCTCTTCGACATTGTAAAATCACGCTAGGAGGCCTCTTTGCAGTTCTAGGAAAAGGTTTCTACTTTGTTCCCCTACCTTGACCTAGTGCAAACATGTATTATGAGAAAATTTCAAACTGATTTCACCTCGTCAGACAGATTCTAGTTCATGTGGCAGATCAAAAGTAATCAAAAGTTGTCCTCCAGATTGATGAAATATGAGCCCGTATGACCCTTCTAGAGCCTTGTAAATTAATGTTGTTTTGTTACCCTGAGCTTGTAGTAGCATACCGTGTGGAAACATTTAGAGTTGAACAAGATTTTTCGGTTTTCGGCTACTCATAATGTGAAAATAAAAGTTGAGCTATCAGCCAATTTTACAAATAAATCCAATGATGGCAACTCCGGCCATGCTTTAATAAAATGAAACAGTGTGCAAGAAAATTTTCATATATTTACTATTTTACCTTTATATGGTGGACAAGCAAACGTTTCGACTGACACTTTAGTCTTCATCAGTGCAAGGGAAAGTATAGTATAGATAAGAATGAAAAACACTGGCAAGATGCAAAACCTCGAAGAAAAGGGAAAAGCACTACAAGATTGCGACATGGAATAAAGAAATAAAGTCTACAGACAAAGAGAGCAAGATAAGAGGCGAAGTAAAACAGCAATAAGCACAAACAGCTGCTAAATCAGAGTTAGATCATAACCTCATATTAAATTGACAAACAAGACAGATCTCCCAGGGAAAGAGAGAGGAACCACACGAAAAGTAGATTACAAGAATTGATCACAGATCGCGCCAAGGCACTCAACATCAGATTTAAAATTAGTGGCACTATATTCTTTTTTAATTTGGATTGCCTCATGGATTAATCTTGCTGGAAGATTTTTGCCCTGATTAAAACCTTCTGATTCTGAAAATCAAAATTATGACCATTTTGAACTTCATGCCACTGTAAGGCAGTTTTTTTCCTTATCATATTTATGAGATTTAATCCTATCTTTTAGGTATTGCTTGGTTTGACCAATGTAAGAACTAGAACACTCGTTACAATTAATTGTGGAGACAACATTTTAACCAGCGTTTTGCTCTTAAGCTTAGTGAAAATTTCTCTGTTATTTTTCATCTTCTTAAACACAGGTTCGAAACCTAAAATCTTCAAGTTCTGGGACAATTTTTCATATAGTCCTTTAACATTAGGCATCTTAATAACCTTATCAGTATTAAAATTTTTCTTAAATGGTCGTACATTAATATTTCTGCAAAAAATGACACTTTTCAATGCCTTTTTTGATTAAGTCGAGAGGATAACCATTCATTAGTAACAATTTTGCTGCACGGGACCAACTTTGCTTCAAGGAGCACTTGTCAGTGAGTCTGTAAACTCTTGTAAGTTATTGACGACATTAATTTTACGATGTAATGCGGTGCAGTTGACAAATAACTGAGGTTTCTACCGGAATGGGCCGGTTTTTGAAACCAACTTGTGTGAATTTTTTGGCCACTTTTGCGATCTACAGTTATATCATGAAAATTTATTGGCGTATTAATTCTATCTCTGAGGTGAATTTAATGGATGGATGGAAAGCATTGAATAGATCCAACAACTCTTGGCACCTTTCCTCAGCTATAACTAACTATTTTATTTTATTGAAGCATGGCCTGAGTCGCAATCATTGCATTTATTTGTAAAATCGGCTAATAGCTCAACTTTTGTTTAGAGCTAAATTTACCTTACCAGACGAATTCTAGCTCATTGCTCATTCTAGCAATGGGCCTGTTGCAAACTTTTGCTAGGGCAAAAATAAGAGTTGTTTCTTATAGATAATGCCTCAAAAATCACGATGAGCGCATCGGCAAAGTCTGAAATGCACTCATAACTTCACAGTCTGCGTAAGAAATTTGCGGTTTTTTGAGCTTCCCGCTTCAAAAACGATACTACGGCACAGGTGAACATATTGTAAGAGGAGTCGTTCCATCGTCGGCAATAATCATCATGGCCGACGCCAATCCGCCAAAACACGTTTGATGGGACGAGATAACACCTGAACTGGATTAGACCAGATAACAATCGGTGTGTTAACGTTCATATTTTCCACGCCCGAATTGATTGACCTTGAACCCTCCTCGAATTACGCGCGGAACTGCGCGCAAGCGTCGGCCATGATGAATATCGCCGACTATGGAGCGACTCCTCTAACAAAATGTTCACCTGTGCCGTAGTATCGTTTTTGAAGCGGGAAGCTTAAAAAAACGCAAATTTCTAACGCAGATTGTGAAGTTATGAGTGCATTTCAGACTTTGCCGATGCGCTCATCGTGATTTTTGAGGCATTATCTATAAGAAACAACTCTTATTTTTGCTCTAGCAAAAGTTTGCAACAGGCCCATTGTGTTTGGAGCTCATGACCTGCCCTTCTGGGGCCCAGGTAAAAATCTGAGGTAGAATTACGAAAAACATGGATTTTCAGCTATATTGGGCTAAAAAGTTAAAAAAGTTCGGTTTTCAACTTGGGCCGAAGGGGGATAGTTGAAGGATAGTTGGGCTCCGGAACCATGTTTAGGCCCCGGTTTCGCAGCCCAAAAATGTGAGTATTGGCAAAACTCGATTATTTCTGTTAGATGTGTATTAGAGGCCAAGGCTCACATCGGGCTGTAGTGCTAGAGAAGAAGAAGAAGAAGAAGATATGCATTAGGGACCGTCAAATATCTAAAAATTCCCCACTTCCGTGGCCTTTCCAAATTTCTTTGCTTTTCTCTGATCTTCAAACAGAACGTCTACATAAGTTTTTCGTTTTAATTATGCTGGCTTTATCTAAACTGTGGAAAAAAGTTTCACTTACAGAGATTAAAATTAGAGAAAGAGGCACTCAGGAGACAGTAAATCCAAAAATGAAAGAAACGACTTCAGGAGGTGATCGGCAAAGCATTGAGTTGGAAGTAGTTGGGAGTGCCGTTAGCTTGTGATGAAAGCATCAATCTGGCTGTCTAGGAGAGAGACACCTAAAGAAGATAGGTAGGCTATTTAGTCCAATAGCCAGATACTCTTTTGGCGCGACTACTCCAGCACGCTCCAAATTTTGCTGAAGCATAGTTCTGACTTCCATGTATTAGAATGGGCAATGTCCGACCTCATATGGGGTTCCCTAGGCCCCTGCATTCGTTGAAAAACGGGAAAATAGCGCATTTGAAACAGTCCAGAGACCCCTCCAAAAATCCTAAATCCTTTTCCCAGCAAACTTTCCTCGCAAAACCTATCAGTTAGGACATATTTGACGCCAATTTTGCCCAGACAGACGTATCCTCCATCGTTGTTCGGCGAGACTCAAAATGTGCTCTCCGGACATTGTAAAATCATGCAAGGAGGACATTTTTAAGTTCAAGAGAAGGGTTTTTATGTTGTTCCTCTACCTTCACCTAGTGCAAACATGTATTGTGAGAAAATTTCAAGCTGATTCTTCCTCGTCAGACAGATTCAAGTTATTGATCAGTTTATTCAGTTGATCAGCTGTTACCAAAGTAGTACCTTAGTAGAGACCATGTTCATCAATAGAAAATAAAGACCGACGCCAATAACGACCCTTTTCTGGCACAATTTGGGTTCGCAGGGATTTTTCTGAAACCGGGCCCAAACAATACCTTATGATACCCTAAAACTCTGGTAAAAATTTTAGCTTGAGTATTCGCACGATTTTTGAGAAACGGGGGGGAGGGGGGTAAAGTTGCGAAATCGCCATCATTCTTGACAGCATTTTTACAGCAAGAAGACGGGAAAAGTGGACGAAAAAGTCATACCCTTGATGGGTTTTGGCTGTAAATGTTCTTATTAGGCCCCCGTACATATAACTGTGTTCAGTTTCAAAAATGTCGGTCCCACCATGGTCCAAAATGGGGAGAAATTGTGGACAAATCAGGATCCTCTGTCAAACTTTTTAAAAGTGAAGTAAAACTGTTGGGTCCTGCAGAGTTTCGATCCCGGAAAAATTAATGTACTTAATTTTTTTTTAATTCTTTCGAACTGCAGGAGACTGACAATTTTACTTCCATTTTTACAAAGAATCCTGATTAGTTCACGATTTTTCCTCATTTTGGACCACTGTGCGACTGAAATTTTCGAAATTAAACATAGTTATATGCATGGGGGCTCAATAAGAACATTTACAGCCAAAACACAGCAAATGAGTAACTTTTTCGCCCATTTTACCCGTCTTTTTGCCGTGAAAATTCTGTCCAGAACGATGCCGATTTGGCAACTTTGCCCCCCCCCCCCATTTCTCAAAAACCGTGCGTATACTCAAGCTAAAATTTTTACCAGAGTTTTAGGGTATCAAAAGGTATCGTTTGGGCCCGGCTCCTGAAAAATCCCTGCTGACCCAAATTGTGCCAAAAAACGGTCGTTTTTGGCGTCGCTCTCTTATCATCTCAATCTGAGAACAAAGTTTCAACCAAGCAACCATTGATGCACCAGTCTTGGAAAAAGTTTTAAGGGTCAACAGTTTAACAATGAAAAGAAGGATAAGTTGAGGGGGAGGGAATTTTGTGGAAAACCACTTCGAAAAATAAGGAAATGTGATGGGCAGGTGCATTCTCATGCACCCGCCTAGCTTCTACATTCTCATGTTGAAGCCAGGAAGATTCTGCATCCTTGATGTTTCATATTTTTTTAGTTTGCTTCAGCTGAACTTTTCGTGGTAATATTTGCTTCACATTTTCAATGAAGACTTCTGTAAACTGTAGCTCAAGAAAGCCAAAATTCTCACCAAAACTTTCTGTTAACAGCCGTATGAGAAAATGAATTTGGCCGATGCTCTGATTCCTCGTCACTTCACTGATGGCCAGCGTATTATCAAGCAAGGTGACGCTGCCGATGGTATGTACTTTGTCGAGGAGGGTGAAGTGAAAATATTCATGCTTGATGAGTATGGCCAAGAAGTAGAAATCAAGCAGATAGGCAAAAGTGGGTATTTTGGAGAGTTAGCATTGGTTACTCATAAGCCCCGAGCAGCCTCAGCGTACGCTTCCGGAAATGTCAAATTAGCATGTAAGTACTCTTTCTGTTTTAAATAGATTTTTATTCGGGGCATCCAGAAAGTCTTGTTATCAACTGTCATATGAGTGAATAGATTCAGCCAGCAAAATTCAGGTTATACGAGCTTATAAATTAGCTTTCCAACTAGACTCTGTCGAACTTTTTTCATCTAAAAGTCACAGACTCCCAGCAATTTCTAGATGAATTTGTATTCCCCTGGGAAATTTTTTGACCTTATCAAGAAGACAGAAAAAGAGAACTGACACTGAAAATAAAGACTCTTATAAATTCGGTATATTCAATAGATTTAGGACTAGTGTGTTGAACATTGCACTATGGTCTGAGAGCCCCAAGTTGTGGCCAAAAATCAGGAAATGATCAGAATATCCTAAAATTGGTTAAGCCCATGGTTTTTGGGTCGCTACGTTTTTGTATGACCTTAGTTTTACACAATTCTGAAATTTAAAATGGCAACAGACCCTTAAAATTTAAAAATTTAAAAGAAGTCTAACTATGATTCGGATACCACAATGACAGTTTAGTGTTTCACAGGTCGCCAGACTGTACTTTGCTTACTCAGTTTTGCAAATATGATGAGTCTACCAGGGCAATAGCCTTTAAAATTAGGATTTTTTCCCAGTAAAAGATAAGAAACCATGGTAGTTGAATGAGTTTGCATCATGATTTTTGGTCTATTGGTCCTGACTGGAGCATTAATGTATACATGGCAGCACACTCTTTACGGTAGTATTATGGTGGTTGCAAGATAATTGGATGCGTAACCAAAAGGGATGGCAAGGAAAAGAAGGGGGGGTATGAGACCTTTAGTGCCTCCTCTCTGAACAAAAATATTAATTTCTATAGCATTTCTTAAATGTGTTTACTCTTTGATCGTCAGACCCTGCTATGAAATGCTTTGGGGCATACTTTACATTCTGTAAAATTTGGTAGCCTTGACATTATCTCTCAGACGCAGAGAACCATTTTGCGCTGAATTTTTATTGTTACAATCCTCATTTTTGTATAGATTTGTAGTGGAATGATAAATGTAAGCTATTCCATAGAATAAATGGATTGCATTTAGCAATTAGGAACCAGCAAGATTACAGTGTTGTAAAAATGTTGCTTCTTCATAATTATCTAAAAAATCTCTCAGGATGGCGAACAATTTTTGCTTCCTACCCAAAGAATGTTCATTTCAAAGGAAAATAATGGTGTAAATTGTTATATTGTCCATAAATGAAGTATATTTAAAAGAAAATAAGAAGTTGCCTGATTTTTAAAACACTGTATTGCGCTGGTTCCTTTTTGCTAAATGCAATCCAAACACAAGGAAACAAAACTACAATTGCTACTGAGGTCTAATCCGTGCTTGAATTCCTTTCCCCTTCGGTCCTTTCACAACAATAAGCCCCCAGTAACCCTCGCTCAAGATCATGAAGCTCTAGTTGCCTGGCTAGGAGTCAGACTCGAAACATTCTGACCATAGAGCCAGCTTTACCATCATTCCACCAAAGAAAGCAATGTTGGTAAATGTGTATTTACTCATACCCAAGCTCATCAATGAAAAAATGACCTTCGTTTTACCTAGTAATCGTTTCTCTGGGGAAAATATTATAGCACTTAAAAATGTGTTTTCCCACAAAAACGCAAATTTTCCAGAAAACTTGCAACCGCCGGGAAAAATTGGTATCATTTTCAGATTCAGCAGCCAAAAATATATATGAATCATTGTTAATCGAACGTTGACCGCCTGTACATAGAAATCAGATTGCTCCGAAAATCTAATAAACCCTTCCTTAAAATGACTGAAAAAGACCCCAGCCGCTAAAATACTTAACATTACATACAACACGCAAAGAAACTTAATATTTTCTGTCAGAGGAACATCTGAGCTACATTCTTATACTGATAGGACGCATTGACGCATTAGCAACGACTAGTGATGAAAAGTTGAAGTCAAGGTCATATTTGGCCCATTTTCAGACATAACTTTTGAGTCTCCTAATGGCCGCAAAATTAATCTTAATTCTAAATATAATGAAACCATCAAAAAGTGCTTACTTTGAGCTTTCTGTTATATATTTGATTGAGGATCTATGCTGACTTTTGACAAAATAGCTTAAGGTAATCCATACATTTCGAATTCTCACATTTCTTTACTTACCTCAGAGCATGTAGAGTATGTCACCATATATCTGATATTAAAAACTTCTATAAAACATTTGATAGGTCATTCCTTAACTGCTAAAGAATGTATACAAAGGCTGCATGCTGACTTGCCAGATTTTCGGCCACGATTTTGCGTTCCCAGACCAAAGTGCTCCGTACAACCATTCATTTGGGTATTTAAAGTTACTCAGTGCGAAAAGCTGGGATGCCAAGAATAAGTTATAAATGTACGGAATTGTTTTAATGTAACATTTTTTGTGACAAAAAGTGCAGTAAGTGAGATCCATCAGAAAATCAACCATTTTGTCCTTCAGAAATTAACGAATGAGGAAATCTGAAGTTTCAAAAGCGGCAGGGTTTTTTCGTGGGGTTGCCGGCAAGTAGGGGACGGTTCTTTTTGTAGTCCGCGCATTTACCGCGGAATGAGTGTATTTTCCGAAGGGTAGTGTCACATTGGGGAGTGAAATCATTTACCCTACCCCTCTTGCCACAGATATGTTTCAAGAAATAGTTCCCCTTGGCTGCGCAACTCCTACCCCCTCCCCTTCACCCGTAAAAACGGTAAATTGCCACCATTATGGAACGCGTTGGCCGATTTCGCTGAAATTCAACAGGAAACCAGTCTTAGTAGATATCTAACCACCATCAAAATTTCAGCTCAAAATATTCATTTTTACTCGAGTTATCGCGTGGACAAAATTAAACCTCCCCCCACTTTGACCCCTCGCTAAGCGAAAAATAATTAACGTATTCCGATTTTTTCTTCAAAGTTTAAAAATACTCTTAGGGGACTATAAACCCCAGAAGTTGCGGAAAACTGAAAAATCCTCACGCTGGCTATATATGTATGAACTAGTCGTGATTAGCTCGCTTTGCGAGCTGACATGTCTAGCCGGGGAGTGCCCCTGGACCCCAGTTCTACGCTTCGCGACGAACTTGCGACTCGCTCCGCGAGCCGCCACCGCCCCGCACAGTTTTTAACATTGATGAGGTGACAACATCTATGTCTTAATCTTCTTTTTCACGAAGTTTTACAGAAATTGATGTTCTAGGAGTCTGGACCGCGTTTTCGTGCGGGCCCGCCATCTTGGATTTGGAAATGTTGAAAATCTGACCAAAAATGCGAGTTTTCCGTCGAAATACACCTCCTAATACCGAATTTCACAAAAATCGATAGATCGGAAGCCGAGATAACAATTTAGACCACGTTCGCCATTTTTGATTTTTGAATTTTGAAAATCTGACCTAAAATTCTAATTGCCCGTCGAAATACACCGCCTAATACCGAGTTTCACAAAAATCGATCGATATCAGGAAGCGATGTAGCATTTTAGACCACGATCGCCATTTTTGATTATTGAATTTTGAAAATCGGACCTAAAATTCTAATTTCCCGTCGAAATACACCTCCTAATATAAAGTTTCACAAAAATCGATCGATATCAGGAAGCGATGTAGCATTTTAGACCACGGCCGCCATCTTGAATTTTTGAATTTTGAAAATCTGACCAAACATTCTAGTTTCCCGTCGAAAAGTACCCCCGGATACCGAGTTTCACGAAAATCGATCGAACAGGAGCCGACTTAGCATTTTAGGCCACGGCCGCCATCTTGGATTTTGAGATTTTGAAAATCTGACCAAAAATTCGAGATCCCCGTCGAAAAGTACCCCCGGATACCGAGTTTCACGAAAATCGATCGAACAGGAGCCGACTTAGCATTTTAGGCCACGGCCGCCATCTTGGATTTTGAAATTTTGAAAATCTGACCAAAAATTCGAGTTTCCCGTCGAAAAATACCCCCGGATACCGAGTTTCACGAAAATCGATCGAACAGGAGCCGACTTAGCATTTTAGGCCACGGCCGCCATCTTGGATTTTGAAATTTTGAAAATCTGACCAAAAATTCGAGTTTCCCGTCGAAAAGTACCCCCGGATACCGAGTTTCACGAAAATCGATCGAACAGGAGCCGACTTAGCATTTTAGGCCACGGCCGCCATCTTGGATTTTGAAATTTTGAAAATCTGACCAAAAATTCGAGTTTCCCGTCGAAAAGTACCCCCGGATACCGAGTTTCACGAAAATCGATCGAACAGGAGCCGACTTAGCATTTTAGGCCACGGCCGCCATCTTGGATTTTGAAATTTTGAAAATTCGACCAAAAATTCGAGATCCCCGTCGAAAAGTACCTCCGGATACCGAGTTTCACGAAAATCGATCGAACAGGAGCCGACTTAGCATTTTAGGCCACGGCCGCCATCTTGGATTTTGAAATTTTGAAAATCTGACCAAAAATTCGAGTTTCCCGTCGAAAAGTACCCCCGGATACCGAGTTTCACGAAAATCGATCGAACAGGAGCCGACTTAGCATTTTAGGCCACGGCCGCCATCTTGGATTTTGAAATTTTGAAAATCTGACCAAAAATTCGAGTTTCCCGTCGAAAAGTACCCCCGGATGCCGAGTTTCACGAAAATCGATCGAACAGGAGCCGACTTAGCATTTTAGGCCACGGCCGCCATCTTGGATTTTGAGATTTTGAAAATCCGACCAAAAATTCGAGATCCCCGTTGAAAAATACCCCCGCTTACCAATTTCCTCAAAAATCCGTTGAAAAATACCGCCTAAAACCTTATATTTCGTCTATAAGGCAGTGACGTCACGCAACAGGATTGAACCTGTTCGGCGCGATGCGCGTAAACAACCGCGTATCTCCAATGTAATACTATACGGAGAAATAACTTTTCGCTCTTGCGGGCGTCCTAGGCAGCGGATTTGAATGGGAATAATTTTAATCAACTCCTCATTACAATAGCTAAGCGTGTACCAATTTTAAAGGAAATCGCTTCGGCCAATTTTTATCTAGGGGGGGCAGAGTGAGTGGGAACAGCAGCTTTATATAGAGTAACTAGTCGTGATTAGCTCGCTTTGCGAGCTGACACGTCTAGCCGGGGAGTGCCCCTGGACCCCAGTTCTACG